TCTCCAATGATTCATAAATAGAGGCACTGAACGGTGACAGTATAAACAGACTATTTATCACGAGAGACGAAGGGAAAAAATTTACACGCTTTTTACGGGAAAGGAATTCATCTATTCGCGACGCTAATTTCCTTCCTTTATGCAACACAATCGATTCACAATTTCTTCCATTGGATCGTCTTTAAACAAAAAGATCCCAATCTTAATTCAAAAATCAAATGAATTCGAATTCTTTGAACATTTGATTCGAGTTTCGAATATTTAAAATTTTTTTCTTTCTCGCGGAGAATTAATATTTATCTTTATTCGAACGAACAAATAATCATTAATTAATCATTTCATATGATATATATACTATCGTAATTGCCAATACACAATGAATCACGAAACTGATATTGAAACATGATACTTGAATAGCGCGAGATAAGAAAAAAGAACATTTAATATTTTAATATCCCGTCGTGAAAAAAAATTTGTCAACAAAAAATATTTTATCCTTATACTTCACGAATTTTTTTTTTTTTTTATTAAAATTCGCTATCCAAGAAAAATTTTTATGCAAATAAAGAAATCGAGTTTGCACACAGACGTCTTTCTTCTCGAATATTTTGCATAAATGCATAAAAAAAATCTACACTCCAGTCATATTTACATATTTACATTCAATCGTTTCAACAATATCTTTTCCACGAATTAAGAAAACACATAAAATATATTCGAGAGATTCCATCACTTTTCCTATTATTTATTATATTACACGTAATGCGCGTAATTCGACACAATTTGCACAAGAAATTCTGCTGAAATTTCTTCTCGCCTCGCGAGATAAACTCGAGGCAACTCTGCTGCTCTCTCGGCGCCGACTTCCGGCTCGTCGCGACCGGTATTTACCGATCGATCGAGCCACTATTAAAACGCGGCCGCCATTTACGGTGTTGACCGGTGACGTAACATTACGTCAGGTATTACCGTAATCACGCATTGTCGGTTGACAATCCGGTCGAAGAGGATCGACGACACGAGCCGAGAGGGGTGAGCACGAGAGGGGGGGCGTGGCGTGGCGTGGCGTGGCGTGGTGGACTCACCACGAGCCGTTAGACAATACGTAATTAGACGGCACGAAGACCATGAAAGGTGAAGGAGGTTGACCGAAGCGGATGGAAGGAGGAGGAAGAGAAGCATGGGAAAGAGAGAAAAGGGACGAGGGAGGCCTTGACCGACTCTCGACGTTCTATGCATCCCCTCCTTTCTCTTCTTCCCCTCCTCCACCCCCACTCTTCTTCAAGCCAACGTTCGTAGGATAGGATTCGTCCTTAAATATAAACCTCGAGCGAAGAAGACGAGCTCGCGAGTCTATTTTGCGCGAATAGCCATTTCTTGTTTTCGTAATTCTTTCTGTTTTTTTTTTTTTGTATATAATCTTTGCATTGAATCGTAAAATTTTGACGATTTCGTATCAATCTATAAAGGAATTGTTTAATTTTTGCTCCTCGATGATGCAATCGTGACACGAATCGGGAGGAAAATATGCGTTATATAGAGCGAGATGCAAAGATACCTATATTATTCGAAATATAGGTATTCCTTATGAATGACACTATAGCAAATTATAGTAAAAGGCGTATCGTTCAATTTTTAAAATTGATAATAATGAAATAAGTGAAGGAAAAATTTAATCGCAATTAAAGTATTCGCGTAGAACGATATCCTTTAAAATTATAAATCATCGTATACGTAGCGAGAGAATAATATTACGGATAATGAGAGAGAATGGCGAAAGAACGAGGAAGACGTTCTCTGATTGTTCCTTGTTCATCGTCCAATCCAATTTGAGATTCGAAACGATCATCAGGCGCATCTGTTCAGAATCGAGAGTTGCAATCGATGGATAGACGGATAGATTGGAAGGAAATTGAAGTAAATTTACCGATTTCGTAGAAATTGCGAGCAGTTGCGACACGGTATCTCTCTCGATGCTTCATCGTCGAGATTGATTCGAACACGCAGCCGATCGAGAACAGTTTACAATTACTTGTTATCGAACAAAAGGATGTGGATTGAAATAATCCTCCGTTCGAGGCGAAATAACTTGAAATGGGATAAGGGAATGTCGAGAGTGAGAAAGAAAAAAACGAACAAAAGAATGGAATTATTAAAAATAAACAAAAAAACTCCTCAAGGACTCGAAAGCAAGGGGAAAAGAAAAAAAAAGAGCGAATGATAAGTATCGAATAAAAATAAAAAGTATTAAAAGGTTATTGTAAAAAATTTAAAGGAGTTGGAAAAAAAAAAGAGAAGCAAGAATATCACGATATTCAAGAGAGGATGGAAGCGCGGCGAAAGTAAGTGCACTTGGGAACAAAAGAAGAAATCGACAAGAGGTTTCAGAAAAGGAGGCGCAACAGCTTAGAATAGAGCAGAAACGGGCTATGGTATCCTCTTCCGCGGTGAAATAACGGGGAAAGAAGGAAAGCAGAGAAGGTGAGAGTCTGCGCAAGGTGAGGTTAGGTTGGGCGAGGTTAGTTTAGCTATGCACGAGGCTGGACGCTCGCCAAGGTCTCGTGGAAAGAGGGGCAGTCTTGACCTCGCGAGATCGTCGACACGCTCATTTCCGATTATATATTTAGATTAGTATCTGTGCAAACGCGTGCACAATATCGGATAAGAATTATTTTCTCCGTTTCACCGATCTTTCCAAGTTCGAAAATCCTAACCTAACTCTCGATCACGTTCAAAGTTTTCTTTTTCTTTTCCAAGGAAGTGCACACTTGAACAATCTTCGAAATGGTGGAACGAATAGTTCAGAATACTTCGGATACTTCTTGAATCGTCATCAAAATCATCGGGAATTAGCTCGGTGAAAAGAACGTTCCAACACAGTTTTTCTTCTTTGCCGACTGAAAACTTCTTTAAAAGGAGTTCAAGATTTCTCTTGTGGAAAGAAACTAGAAATCAGAGTGCCAAAGTAGAGAAGTCGACAAACAGCTTCAAATTTCCAACTTTTTCAACTTTGAGGATACCAAGTGTGCGCGTGATCAATGAAGTTTGATAATTTCCTTTGTAAAATTCGCTTCGTTCCTGAAACGAAATATACCAGACAAAACGAACGACTTTGCTACAATGTACGCTACAACTCGTCGTCGCGCAACTCGTTTCTTTCGAATTTTACGGGAGTGCGCGCTTCTGCTCTTCGATACGATCCACGATATCGAGGGGAAAAAGGCTGGGAATCGAAAGGCATTGCCGAGTGAATAATATCGGATCAGGACTCGGGTTATCAGGTGTACCGTTGTTTCTAAAGAATTTTCGAGTTCGAGTGAAAGGCTGGTCGATCTAACCGAGTCGGTCGTGACGTTTGATAAAGCCTGTTGCCTTATTACCATTTCAAAACTCGCGGACCAAATATTGCTTGCTACAAATTATCGCGTGTACGTGTATACGCACAAGAGGGACCATCGAGATAAATTAACGACCCGCGTTATTTCGATCGTCTGGCATAAGTCGATGATTGCAACCGTTATACTTAATGCTCATGCATATTCATCCGCTTACCGTATATTCATACACCGTACACGGATAAAAAATTCATTATTCGTTGGAAAAGTTTACAAACACTGCTTCTCTTCCCCTGGAAACCTCGACTCGATGTCCTCTTTTCTTCCTTTTTTTGACATCACGGTAGATCGATAAGAATATATATACGGCAGTATTTACGTTGTTTCACCGACTTAACTTTATGATTATTTTTTCCTTTTTTTTTCTCGTTGTTATATATATTTAAAATGAACTCTAACGTATTATTAATTTTTATTTATATATGTTGAAATGATGTTGAAAGACGAATGAAAAAAATTTTATAGGTTAAGTATAAAGTTGCTTCGATAATTTATTATTCGAAACGGATAACAATTATGACAGTTACGAATAAATTATTATTGTATATATAGTTTCAAATTTTATCCTAATTTATATAAAACTTTTTCGTTCACGTATTTTAAATAAAGCATTTTTACTTCTCGTATTATTAAAAATTCATGAAATTCTCTCGTTTTGTATAAAATTGTTCTAAACAACACAGCCTATCATCAAATTCTTGAGAAATTACTTTTCCAGTAGGAAAACAAATCTCGATATTTCTATTCAAATCCGATTATCCAGTTCACCTCGAGTTCGATCTTTTTTCCGCGATGAGCGATCAGCGAGCGACAGTGGCGACTCGGATTCATCTTGGCCGCGAAGGAAACAATGCATCAGAGTTGGTTGGTTGCATCAGAAAGAGCGAACGGTTACACCTGTAACGGACGAATAGCGATGTCGAAAGGCCGGTTCGAGCACCGTGACGTGTCCCAAGCGAATTTCTCCGTAACCGCACCGCGCCAGCCCACACTGTGAGCAAATTTGCAACGGAATGGCCGGCGTTTAGGTAGCGCGAATTTGCATTTTCACGTTTTACGGCCATCCGTGCGGAAAACAGGGCTCGTTCGCCGAGAAAACTACTCCTTTCCCAATCTTTTATTCATTCCAAATGATTCTCGTGTAACGAGAGAACGGATTCATTTCTCGTATCGGCCAATTTCAATCCTCGCCTGTTTTATTATCGACGTGTGTGTTATTATTAACGCGTGTGTCTATATTTATTACAAAGAGATTGAAAATCTATTGAAGAACTCTTTTATATAATAATTAAAAAAGTAAAAAAAATTCGCTGATAATATTTTATTTTACTCGATAATCAGTATTTTGCAAGTATCTTAACCTTGTCTTACAAGTGTTTCTGAAGAGGTTAGGAGGAATTATTTCACATTTTATGCATACAAGTCAACATTTCTTAAACAGAGATGCATTCCAATGTTCTTTTCGTATAATTGTTATTAAATTTATATTAGATTAGGAGAATAAATGTATTACGTCCTGTTATAACTATAAATTTAAAGGAGAGAGAATTCAAAGTCTTCGTTTCCTTTTCTTGATTCCAGAAAGGCAACATGTAAATTCCCTTATCATCGAAAAATGAACGTATAACGGACATATGCGACAAATAAAAAACCAGTGCAGTGAAGAAGCAACGGTAAGAAGTTATCTGTTTGAAAATTTCCAAACGAAACTCGAATTATTGAAATAAAGAAATCGGATAAAAATTAAAATTTTTGAAATTAACACTCCATATTGGCCGAGGATCAATTACCTACTCGATTACAGGATTCTTATTGTTCTCCTTGGCTTTTCTCGACTTGTATCGGAGCCAGTTGTTCTTCGAAACTAATTGACCATCGGTTAACTTACCTCGTTAGCCAACGTCCCAATACTTGCAAAACGGGCGTGCGGTTGAATCATAAAAGCGACGTGCCCATCTGTTGCATCGAAAAGGAATAAAGAAGGCGTGAAGAGACACGAGCCATCTTGTCACCGATTACGAAAGGAGGAAATTATTACGCGTCCCCATCGCGTTGTAAAATGTCATCGAGAATCGTCGAAAAACCCATTTCAAACTCATTCTCTTTCGATTCTTTGGGGTTTATAAAAACAAAAAACGTGCGTGGATCGCTCTCCTGAAAATTGCGTTTCAATTAATCGATGATCAGCGACACACACGCTGTCGAATCTGCAATTATTTAAAGCGATTATGGTCGATTATCAATTGTCCATGGTTTTTCAATGAATCTGTTTTTTTTTCTGACGATACAATAAAAAGTGGAAAATAGAATTTTTCAGAATGTCAAACTCTGTGTCTTTTAGAATGTCTAGAGAATGGAGATTATTTCTCGATGAAAATATACTCGTAAAAATATAAATTCAAAATTCATTTGTCAAGAAAAAGAATAAAAAAATAAAAAATGTAACGATAAACGTTAAAATATTCCCAAGCTTTTATAATATGCCTTGTCTTTTTTCATTATTAAAATTGAAGTATTTTTTGAAGCACGCTTTGTCCTTACGTGCAATCAAGTTAATAATGTAGCAGAATAAAGAATATATGGAAAATAGAATCGTTTATGTAATCTGATACTGAAACACAAAGTTTTTGCAAAGCTGTATAGTTAATATATGTATATATATATATATATATATATAAATATAGTTTAGAAAGCGAATTCTTCCCGACTCGAGTTTTTTTTTGTTCCACTGTCTCTCTGATCGATCCCCTCCCTTTCTCTCTCTCACTCTCTCTCTCTCTCGCTCGTTGTTTCTTAATAAAACAGCCATAACCTTCCGTTACATTCGACTCGATGGCAAACCGATTAATCGGAGAAACTATTTTCAAAGAAGTGCATGACTGCGCACGAGAGATTTCATGCCGCAATTTGCGGCTGAAAGAGCGCAGCCGATGGACGTAACCGGATTTATCTATTGTCCAACCTCCAGGGTTTCTATGAATCATAGAAAATGATCGAAGAAACTTGTATATTTAATGTCTTTTCCGTGCAATTAACGACTCGCCGTTGTTGGGCTAGTAGAAAGAGGTAAAGGTTTCTGCTTTTGAAGAAAATTGCGAGATTCTAAAATTATTTATTCGTGGATATTTATTAAATTAATATTCCTTGTATACGCGAATTGATCGAACACCGACGAACGAGAATTCTCTGTCATTCGTTGGAGCATCGATAAAAATATTTAAATGTACATACGGTAACTTGGATTCGTTCACGAGTTGAGAATTATAAAAAAAGAGGTTAGGTTTTTGTCTAAAATTATTCCAGGATATTCATAAGTGACTCTGTGAACAAGCTATCGTATGTTGAAAAAAATTGACAGAAATGTGCCAGAAACTGCAAAAAATTATTAAAATACAAATTTTCTTTGTTACATTATATATCATTTAGATTTACTTGTAATATATATATATATACTTAGTACGATTCATTTACGAATTCAGGGTTATAAAAAAAGAGGTTAGGTTTTTGTCTAAAATTATTTCGAGAATTTTTATTAAATTGATTAGATTATATATGCAAAGTGAGTGAGGTGAACAAAGTATCATTCATTAAAGCATTAATAAGGAAGTGTAAATATTTTAAAAATTAGAATATTTCATTTTACAGTTATACAATATACAGTAATATATTATTACGTAGTATTAGATTCTGTTTCACATTGTTTCATTTCACTCATTGACAAATCCTTACGAATTTTCTAAATTTTCGTTCAACATCTGTTCATCAGACTTTAATTTAATTATCCGAATACCGGTTTCAAAATTAACGAGGTTATCTTTATTAACGATTAAATTAAAACGAATATAATCACCTCGCGTAAATTCGAAATCACTTAACTCGTTTTTAAAATTAACAATGTTCGATTATAGACAGAATATACTCGAATGGCATCCCGTCACGATGTAAAAATCGAAATAAAAAAATACGTGAAAAAATACGGTGGATAAATAGCGACCGATTTGAGATCGCGGTGACACGTGGCCGTAGCGTATGCAGATGCACGAGGACGATCGTGTGGAACGTTAGAATGCAGAAAATAGGTGTGTACACCGACGAGTGTAACGTTTTGAGTTAAATTCTTGCCGAGTCAAAGGAACGCTGCGGGCACCGCGTCCATTATCCTCGCCTTCGACGACCGCACAAATCCGTGAGAGTGTAATAAGCATCCGCCAAAATGGATGCCTCGTTCTCCTCACTATGAGATCACGCCCGTGTTTTAAAACGGTCTATTGTTTCGGGTGTAAAGGTTCGTTTCACTTGTCACGCGTTCCATCCTATCGATTATCCGTGTCATCATTTCTTCCACCAAGTTTCTTCTCTCTTTCAAGTACATAACCTATAAATCTAACGAATATATATATATATATATATATATATATATATATATTNTT